GATTGCAATTTGTTAAAATTCTGTAGATATTATGTTAGATCATCGATTACACCACGGATAACGTTCAGGGCCATTAGTGAATTAATCGAGATTTATCGTAATAATCGCTGAAAATATCACAAAAATAAATGACACCTAATCGAATTTCAGCTCATGATTATCGTTTAGATACATCACGATTAATCGCCAATTTTTTAGCGATTTCGATGACATGAATATATCTTTTACAATAATAGAAAAAATTTGGATGATTGGAAGTTCATAATAATGAAACAAAATTGAAGAAAATCAAGCGAAATTTCTCCATATAATTTCTTGATGCTCAAAGAAACACTCTAGTGCAATAATTAAACATAAATTTTACATCATCTGATCATAAAATAATTCAAAAAAAAATGACTTTTTAAAATTCAACAAACGTCGTCTGATGAAAGTTTTGTTCTAAATTTGTAATTTATTTTTAGCATTAATCTGATTATATTGTTAATAATGAATATAGATAATTCTAAAAAAAGCTTTATAATAACTGTGAAAAAAGATAATAAATTATTAATAAGCAGATATACAGATAAAGATTATGATTACATGAAGTTTCATTTTTTTAAGCTAAATATCTGGTTTTACAGAGAAATTCAATTGACATTCAGTCGAGTCTATGAAGTTAAATAGTTTCACAATATAATTTTCTACCGAAAAAAAGGAAGTAGTCTTTAAAATTTATATTTATTTAACTATTACTTTTGTACCAATGCATGTTTGTCTTCGAAAATAACATGGTTTGCAGATGATTCGACAAGTATAAAATAAATCATGTTGTTAAATTTTGTTGAGTTCTTTTTCAATGAAAAAAAAAAAACGAAGGATTACTAAACATGTGTATTTTCAGTCGTCGTGTAGTAACTGTCTTTTATCAAAGCCTCATACTTAAAAAATAAATATTCATATGTTTGCTTATAAAAGTATTTTAAAAAGATGATTTTCTGATATTGACATAGAAGAGATCATAGTGATATGCATCACAGAATAAATAGAGTGGAATGCATATTCTTTTTATTTGATAAAAAGAACAAGTGTGTGCTCAGCCTTGTCAATGAAATGACATTGAGAATTTATTACTGATTAAAGGAGAACGATTTCACAGTTTTACATTTAATGTAAAACAGAATCTGCTCAAGTTTAATTTGGTCTATAGCAGATACTTACAATCGAAACGTTCGAATAAACCTAATGTTGATAAAAGAAAGGAGAAGTAATTTCTTCTTCTAAGCGACTCTTTTGTCTCAAAAATATTAATTTTATAATGGATTTTTTTTTCTTTTTACATATATCACTTTATCAACGACGTCAAAGATTGTAAGTTGATAATGGAATACACAGCTTCTTTTATATCTAGTCCCATTCGTCTTTGGCTATTTTTAACTGCTCTTATTCCATCTATTTTCTGTTCAATTATTGTCCTATATCATTTACTTTCTAAACGAACTCAACGTCGTGCTATCAACAATCATGTAATTATTATTCTTTTATTCAATAATTTGATCTATGAATTTATCGATATTCCATTATTGCTCAACTTTTATCGTTTACAGTCTGTTTGGCCAGCTACACCAAGTTTATGCGTAATGTGGATGTTCATCGATGAAACATTAAATTCTATTTCAACAATACTTATTGCTTGGGCATCAGTTGAACGATATATTATTATTTTTCGTAGTCAATGGTTATCTAGTGCTAGAAAGCGTTTTCTTATTCATTATCTCCCTTTAATGTTATTCGTGCTCTACATCATTATATTCCATGTAATTGTCATTCTATTTTCATCATGCATCAATATGTATGATTATACAAGAGAGAAATGTGGTGAATCACTCTGTTTGCATAATACAAAGCTCATTGAAACATGGAATATTATTGTGAACGAGATCTTACCAGGTCTAATAATTGTTATCTTTAGTATTGCTCTTCTTGTACGATGTCTACTCCAAAATCATCGTATTCATCAACGTTTACAATGGCGAAAATATCGAAAAATGGCAATTCAATTGTTGTCAATTTCAATGCTCTATTTTATACTTTACATTCCAGTCACAAGTATCAAATTAGTACAATTATGTTGCATATCTCAAGATGGCATCAATAGTTTTGAAGAATATGCACGATTCTTTTCGTATTATATCATATTTCTTCTGCCATTTGTGTGTTATGTTTCTCTACCTGAAGTTAAATGGCAATTCAAGAAAATTTTTCCATGCTGCCACCGACAAGCACGATTGATTCATCCTAGAAAAATGCCTGTAATGCATTTTGTGACGAAATAGTCAAACGTAATAGAAATCATTAGATTATATTGACTATTGAATATACTTTCTTTTTTTTAAAAATTATTAAAACATACTTTTTCTATCATCCGGTATCTTTATGGCATTAATAACAGAAAAAACTTGCGCAGAAGAAAATATTTTACTGTACATATTTTGAAAATTCATCGACACATGAATAAGATCGAATAAAATATTTCTTATATCAATTGTGAAAAACTCGAGCATTAATTCATCAGCACACTCAAATGACATTTATCTTTGATTTTCGAAAATCTTGATCTAGAGGATAATCAAATTATGGCAGATTCCATCGGTTCAGTCTGTGCCCATGTAAAAGGCTTTGTACTAAAAATCAATTATTTGTCACAAAGATAGGTAATTCAGAGGTTTCTCGATCACAGATCAAATCATTTATTGAAAAAATCAAACCAAGTCAAGTCATAATTCATTCAAAAAAATTTTCATGTCAAAAAATGACTTAACTTGTGTATTTCTACTTTGATAATGTAATCAATTCCAATCAAGCTTTTGAATAGATCTATTTTGATCAATTAAAGTTGAACAATCATTTAAAATTGATAAAATTAAATCAACATTGAATGAATCTGTTCTTTTTAGGCTAAAATATCGTGATTATAATTGATTGCAATCTGATTTTTTTCACCAAAAACTTTGACACGAACACCCTGACCTGAAAATATCTGTTGGAGATGAAGAGTATTATCCAAATCTGCTCATGTGTTCAATCATATGCTACATCAAAATTATTTATTAAATATAACGAACTCCTGTAAACTATGCTGGTAAAAGTAACTTTCTTGTCTAAGAATAAAATTAGACAAACACTTTTACTAAAATTCTCAACATTTCAAATACCTGTTTTATCAATAAGAGAAAAACCATAATCGCTCTCAATAGTGAATGCGACGTGCAAGATACTCGCTATGATTACTCGTTAAGTGTAAGACAATAGGGTCGATCTAAATAACACATAACTCAAAAGTCTTATGTTTAATATTAATATGTTCAAATAAGTTATGCTTTTTTGTATCGAATATGAAATCTAGATCATGTTATCTAAAACAAACAAAAGAACAGAATAGCTTCAAATATTAGCTGTAATCATAGTCCTTTGAGAGAAGTGTTGTTATAAAACAAACCATATAAACTTTCTCAACGATGTCTATGGTGTCAGCAGTTGAATTGATATTCAACATACAATTCGACTTACTATCCTCCAGTTAAACGAATCGAAATAAAACTATTTTGTATAAAATTTTTATATTTCTACAAATAAAAGCAAATAATTAATAATGAGGAATTATTGAATGGGAAAAATACTTTTTTTTGAATATTTTCCGAGTCGACAGATGATAATCAACGATATGAAGAAATCACCATTGATCTATTTTGCATAGTATCAAGTAAATCGTTGAACAGTTTTTATTTAACCAATTGATAGTTTGCACCATTGAAAATGTGATTATTCAAAGTTAAAATTTAGAAGAAAAAAATTGGAGATGCTATTATTAAGTATCAAAAATGACCTCAACAAACCGCTCTAGTCTTTCATTAGTTGTAAAAAATCGAAATTGTAGCTTTCTCAATAAATTTCTTGCTGATGATGCCTGCGAATTTCGGAATACATTTGAGTAACAGGTTATGTATAGTGATATAAATATGAAACAAAATCACTTCAATATGGAGAATCAAGCGAAACACAAATAGATGCTATTTGCTCTTGATTAAGGAAAAGAATACTTTTCTTCTGTACAATCGTTGAAAACTTAAATCTATTTCTTGCAGTCCATTGTTATACTTTGAGAAAAATTTTCTTCAGTATGTCTCTTATGAATATGAAGTTTGAACAATATTTTATCAGCAATGCAGACTATCGACTTACTTAATAAAGAATATGGTCAGAATACGTAATTTTTTGTTTGCTCAGCGATATATTGATACATCCTATGTATTCAGAAATGATAGAGATTGAACACAATAATTAGTTGATTGTTTGTTATTTTGAGCATACTCCAAGCGACAAGCGGTTGTGAAACGACACCATGGCACATCATATTTCCGTGCAAACATGCTTTCTTGCAGGAACATTTCTATGTGTGACATTACGATGCTAAGATTTATCTCAAAATAAACTTTTTTCCGTTCTGTTTAAGTTAAGTTAATTGTTCTGTTTTCATATTATTAGGTTAATTAAAGCCATTAGTATGAGTAAAGCAAAGCGGGTCTGGATTATGGTGTGGAGTGCATAGCTGATGACAGACAAGTGTATGACTATGGGAATTTAGGTGGAGGAAAGACACTAGTACACATCCATATCTACACCCAAATTTTGGGATTCTCCTAATTACGAATAATGCTCTCTGATGTTTCATATATTTTATGGCAAGACTAGGATAAAATGGTTAGTTCTTACATTCAATAGATCAATTAGTGTTCTAAAATAAAAGACCATATTGAATGCTATCTATTTTATATATTCAAAGATAATTAATTGAAGTACGATATATATATAATTAAATCAAGCTCAAGATTATATAAATGCTACAGAAAAAAAAAGACAGAATTGTTCATTGAAACTTTTATTCGTTTGAGTTATGTTTTCGTTCATGAATTCCATAAAAGATTCATTATAATTGAAATAGAAAAATAAAGCATCATTTATTTCTTGGGAACAACAGCCAGTGTTCGCATGCCAGCGACAATTGACGGTCTGTTGTTATCGATTATGTTTTTTGAAATTTCTTCAGAAATTCTCAGTACAGTCTTTGGTATTTGTTCCACTGAAATTTTTTGAACCTTTTCTAGATATCGAGATAAAATAAAGATTTCACTTCGACAATCATAACAATGATCAAGTCCATCAGTATTTAAATCTTTTACATCATGTTCATAATAATTTGTTCTCAGAACATTTTGAAAATAATCCATACATGACTTAAGGTTTTTAATATTATAATCAATCATACGTGCACCTTTTTGAACGACCAAACGACAACCAGAAGGATGTCTTGAACCCCATGGTTCCAATATGAGATCACCTTCAAAATACTGTAATCGATTTTGTGTACGCGAAAAGTGCAATGTTAAAAGAGATGCACTTGGCTTCATAGATAAATGCCATTCTTTTTGATTGACCATATCTATTGCTAAGTTTTCGTCTATATCATCTTGTGCACCAAATGCATGTATGTCACAAATCAATAATAACTCTTTTCTTGATTTAGAATATTCTTTCACTATATCATCTATAAATTCTCCTGAACGAATATGAATTTTTGGTGTTTTTTTAGTTTCAACTTTTTTTGTATCAATAAGAACAAATTCAAGATCAGGAAATAATTCACTTAAATAATTAATGTGTATGCCAGGTGCTGCACCAATATAAATTACTAAATATTTTCTAGCTCGACCGTAATTTGTCAAAAACTCGATATCTGTTAATAATAGTTTTCGTGTTCCCCAATGTTCAGTTGTAATAGGCTGTTGAACAATCGTTTTTCGATTGAATGGAGGACTTTGTAAATTCAAAAAACGACTTTCTTTATTGAATATTTTTTGAATGTCCACCTTAGATCCACCACTAATAAAAATTTCTCGCAAATGTGGATTACGATTGTAAATATCTTGATTTTTTTTATCCAGTTTTAAAGATTTTGTATTAATATTCTTGTCGAGTTCCAATCGTGCTATAAGTGTCTTCTCATCAGCATAATATGTTGATTTATCTATTTCAAAACTATCAAACGAACGACTGCCTCTTGGTAAAGCGGAAGCTTCTCCAGCATTCTGTCTATGATTTTTATTTACTGGTGAATTTTGTGGTTGTTTGTTTCGGTACCTGTTAAAAAAATATATACATATAGATAATTAAAGAGAGTAACCCTTCTTTTTCTTTTCTTAAAACAGTTACTGTTAGAATTCTTTTTCTATTCCTCATCGAATACTTTAATCAGAAATCTTCAATAGAATTAGAGATTCTGACTTCATTTTTTTCTCTTGATTATTAAAAATTAAAACAAACAACTTACGGACGTCCGGTCAATAATTGATGAAATAATTTCATAAGTTCTATTGAATATTCAATATCATCCATAGCTCGATGGTTAACTGTTTCTCGACCATTGTTGGATAGTTTACTTACAAATTTTAATTCACTTCTCGGTGCCCATCGCTTTAACATTCCACGAAATGAACTAACATCAATAATACGATAATGTAAATAATCATGAGCTTTTGGCATTCTCTGTTTTAAAACTTCTTTATCAATATGTATTGAACTGCCGGCTAGAGGACATTCTTTTTCTGGACAATGACGTTGAAGTATTTTAAGTAACTTTTGTTCAACATCTGCTTCAGAAAGATTAGATTTGACGCATGCTTCAAATAAACCGTTTCCACCCTCATCAACAGATTTGAATTGTTCCTGATGCCATTGACCAAGTGTGTCTAATTCTTTTTGATCATAATGAACGACCCATTGATCTGCAAAAAAACATTTAAAGTTTATATTAATTTAATTGAAATCGGTAAAATTATTTTTGCTATACTACAACTACTCGTTTCAAAATAAAAGAGAGTATGAGTGTGTTTTTTTAGTTGTTTAATTTTTTTATGGTTCATGAAGAAATCCACAACTCGAACGCTTTACTCCGTTTTATTATAAAATACTACAGTATATTGTGTCAGATGACGCCACATTTTCTCCTGTCGGTTAAGTCTTCTAACTGCTCATTATTTCTGTAAAGCCATTTTTAATAAATAAACAAACTCGAATGCTACCCAGGTCAATGGCGTACGGCCGGAACCGGCCGAAAAATGGTCGAAGCTGGGTGGCAGTAATCCTATGCACGGATTCGGTAACCGTAATTCCTCGGTTACACAAGGTTCCGACAGAAACCGTGAAAATCCGGTCATCGGATCTGGGCACATGATTATTACCACCAAGTTCCGACGGAAAATTCACGGAACCAGGCGCTGAAATCATTGACCTGGATATGCAAGAAACAGCCGATACAGGCAGCTTCAGTGTGCTCATTATAAAAAAGAGGCGCGCTATCGATTCAAATTTAGCATTTTTCTACAAGTTAAAAAATATTCATGCAGGAATTTGTATAAAATACCATATCGTTCAGACCTCTCGAAAACCACCGCTTAACCCAAATGCTTATGCTTCACTTTGTTTTGAATTTCACAGCATAAATCTTTAAAAACTCTTAGAAAAAAAATGTTAGATTTCAGTCGAAATTGCGTTCTGTTTGTTATGTGACAGTGCTCTAGTCGTCTGCAACAGTTACATCGACTACTGCCGCTTAGCTGTTAAGTTTGATTATTTCTTAAAGATGGTGTCACAAAAATATTGATTAATTAGAAGACTCATCCGATAGGAAAAAGTGTGGCACCATCTGGCACATTATACTGTGCTATTTTAAAATTGACTTTTTCTGAGTAGCAATCGATCTCTGCAAGACACATAGCATCGACTTAAAGAAAAATTAGAAGAAAAATTCGTGAAAAACGGACGATATGATAACAATTTAAGTGGAAAATTCCAAGTAACCATCAAATTAATATCCCAGTTAATCGCACGGTGAACTACGATTAATCACAGGTTTTCGTGGCTCAGATTTAAAAAAACTGGTCAGCAGCTGAAGCCAAGACGGAGAGAATATTTTGTTTCCCGTCTAGCCCTGTTCCGCTCCCACCTTAATTTTCTTCTTCAATGTCTCGTCACATTCTTATGAGATGTTTCTATCTTTTGGTCACATGATATATTTGATTACGTATTGCAAAAATTGACACAAGAGCACAAAATCGATATAGCTCAAGATCAATCAATCTTTTACTTTGTATTTTCTATTGAATAAAGTAATAAAATATTATTAACGGTTGTTAAGCCGAAATCATATATTTCTTAGTTGACAAATCGGTCTGCTATCAAAAATTGTCTTCCGATAACAGCTAAACTGCGTGGCAGTGAGTCAATGCGATATGTTAATTAACCTCTATCCGCTCCATCTCGCTCTGTTGTAATAGACTAAGACAAGGCCAAATGAGGTATGTGGAGGTTAATTAGCATATCGCATAGACTTAATACTATTCACTTCAGTTAGCTGCTACCAAATAACAGTTTTCGGCAACAGATCAAGTTGTCAATTAAGGAGGATATAATTTAGGCCTAACCACTGTTTGTAATATTTTATTTCTTTGCTCAGTAGAGAATACAAAGTAAAAGATTAATTGATCTCAAGCTATATCGATTTTGTGCTTCTGGGCTTATTTTTTATACTTTGGTGTGAATTTTTTGCAATATATAGTCAAATATATCATATGCTCAAAAGATACACACAACTCATAAAAATGTGATGAGACTGACAAAAAAATATGGTCGGAGTGAGATGGGAATAGCTTTTTCCGGGACGGACAGCAAATATTCTCCTCATTTCGGCCTTAGGAAGGAATAAAATGCCAACACAGTTCTACAACGCAAATAACATTATGTAATTGTGTATGAAATCGATCGCTGAATTATCTACGACTAGGCGTGAATTCTTTAAAAAAAAATAACTAAAAACGACATGTTGTAGGAAGTACGCCATCGTCTATGACTCATCTATGAAAAATAAAAATTAATTTCTATTGTAAAAATAGTTTACCTCGTTCTAATTCACGTAAGTATTTATCAGTAATAATAACAGCACATTCCATGATTTTGGGATCTTCAATAGATGTCATTTCTAAATCGAGCCAAACAATGTTCAGTCTTTTTCTTTTGTCCACCTCAGATACATCACCATCTGGACTTTGTTGGGTAATTTTTTCATCATTAAGTTCATCTAATAAATTCACCATGTCTTCATTATCTTTAAATTGAGCCAAGTCCAAAGGTGTTTTATCGTCTGATTCACGAGGAACATCTATATCTAACTTATGTGACCTAGCTAGATGTTGAATAACATCTGGACAGTTTTTTTCAACCAATTCATGTAGTAATGTATTTCCTTTTTGATTCACAGGATTTCGCCATTCTGCAATTGGATCAACTCCGACTTTCTTGATTAGTTTATCAAATCGATTAATCATTAAAGATTGATCATCTTGCGAAAGAATTTCTTCTATTTCATGTTTAATGGTATTCATACTCATCTTTCTACTACAGTTCTATTCGGGTAAAAGAATTCGTTATAGTTTCTTCCCACTTACTTTGCTCTCAAGAAAAAAAGAAAAATACTGAAGAAGAAAGAGAAAAACAGTGAAGTCTTGCACATGGCTTACTATTTACCCACAGGAGTAGTAGGAAGAAAAAGCAGAACGATGACATTGCATCGTTTTGCAAAACATCTAGCTAGCAACAAATTTGAGTACTTCAGATTACACATCCACCTTTACCCTCGCACAATGCTGCGACAGCCAATGTGGACATACGAATTGTATACTATGAAGAAGAACCAACAAAAAAATATACATTCTAGATATCATCTCACATGAGTTTACTTTTTAGGCGTAATACCATGAAAAAGTAGAAGTGATAGTATTACATTCTCATGAACACAGCAGAGCGAAATATTTTTTTCTTAAAATATCGTCCTGATCATAAGCGAATTGCATGTAGTTAAAATGTAAGAAAATAAGGAAATCTTACAAAACTAACAAAAGATGTCACTAATTTCTGTGAAATAGAATGACATTGATATGTTGTATAATATATGAGGAAGAGCGGCATTATGTTTTTCGAGCATGCAGAAATTGATAAAGACGAAATTAATTATGGATTCGAAAGTAATTTCATAAGATTAGATAGAACATTTATTTTACAAAGCCATCAAAAATGTAATTGATGAACAATCATCTATAAAAATCATCATATTGGGTAACATTCATCACATCTGCCAACAACCTATTTGGTGCAAGTATGTAATACAGATGAGCAAATCAATAGATTTTCGACTCAAATTAAGTCATTTCGGACTTGACTTGCCATCTCTGATGCTATGGATACTTTTCTATTAGTATACTTATAATATAGTTCCACATTTTTTCAGACTAGTGAATTAGAGCAGTCACTTTAGAATATAAGAGACAGGAGGTAATAATAAGTAAAAAAACGTTTTGCACAGCTAATTAGAGCTAGTTGAAATCCGTTTTTCGTTGGTATTCATTACTCTGAATCGAAAAAGGTCATTTGAAGAAGTGAACAACCATGTTTTTGGACTGTCATTCAAATCTAACACTTGTAAGATATATACAAATGTTTGATATTGAGTTATCGAGACAATGTGCAAACTGAAATAAAACGGTAGAATACACGAAGAAGCAAAAAATAAAGACACAAGGATTTTCGAGCTAATTTTTTTCCAGCTGAGTTAGCATTATCTTGTTTTGCTCTCCTCCTTGCTGCAATCATTTTTTTTCAATTCAGAAACAACTTATTAAACGATAAAGAATCGATTTTATCTTTCATTATTTTCAGGAAGAAAATCATCTTCACATAAAATTTGAAAATTTCTTGACACTTCTACCAGCGAAGATGTTTGTATTGGCGACTATGAATAAAAAAAAAAAAAACTTTTTTTTTAGACAGAATAATTAATTGATATGTATGGGTTTTTAAAATAATGTTACACTTATCCAAATGATATTCTTTACTCAAATGAAAGATTATCTCGACTGATAAAAGTCCTGTGCCTGTGTCAATTCTTTCTAAAATTTACCACCGTCGTCAAAGACAATTTATCAGATTTCTAAAGAACTTTTTACCATTGAAAACTGTCATGTTCGTGATGTTTGTTCACAAACAAAGTCTTTTAGATAGATTTTATGAAACATCACAGTATCTTTTTAAAATCAAAGATTAGACGTTTTATCGTGATCTGTGATTGTATTATGGTTACTTTTAGTAGAGCAAAAAAAAAAATTTGATTTTACTTTATGACTGTCATAAGAAAGACTTCATTTATTTCTGCTTCTTCCTAAAAGGTAAACAAACACGCTAATGCATGTTTGTTTTTCAATCTTTTAACTAGTAAAAACAAGAAAAATTTCTAATTAGGTGAACTACAGGGAGACTACAAGCTCGACATAATTTCTTCCTAATCTATCGAATTTTGCTTTTGTCGTTCAAAAGGTCAATTCTCAATCGAATATCTTTTAATTTCATTTGATATTCATCATCAGCTATGAAATACATCGCAATAAAAATCTTCAGACATACTTGCTTGTTATCAAAGTCAACTTTATTCTCGTTTGTGACATGTATTATTATCAGTGTTACAAACAGTTGGTTTTGTTTTGCATTCGTCTTTGTTAGTAAAAAGAAACGTAGAACCCGAGTTGTGATCTTTATCTTTTATCTATGTCTATTCTTCTACCTTGATCATAATCATATTAACGTTAAAATTCATTTTTCTTTTCCGTGCAAAGAAATGAAATATATTATTAGCATCTCATGAATATCTGATTATATTATTTACTATATACTCCTTGTACATGAATTGCTTCACTTTTCCATTTCATTCGTTATTATATTGTATGAAATCTAATTGTGATTCATGGCTATTTCACATTATTTGCGACTTTACTAGTTTTTTATATTAAGAAACAAGCATAAAAAAAACATAATGCCAGCAATGACTTTTTATTTAAATGAAATAATCATTCTTATTGACTCGACTAAAAATTTTATCTCTGTCTCTTTACCAAAAAGTAAAAATAAAACAATGCTCATTTATGTGACATCCGTCTTATAGTTTTCTCAATTTCATTAACATGAATCTGGGTTGAAGGTAATAAATGACGATATATTTTCAGTGCTTTTTCATAAGAATTTAATGCATCCTTAAATTCACCCTTCAATTCATGAACATAAGCTATATTTCTGTGGGTCATAGCAATATCAGGATGATCAGAAGATAGAGAATTCTTTAAAATCTTCAATGCTTGTCGATAACAATCGAGTGCTTCAGAATATTTCTTCGTCATTTCATGGACTGCACCTATGTTATTGATGCATTGAGCTACATAAGGATGTTTATCACCAGCAATTTTCTTCCAAATCTCCAATACTTTTTGATACGAGTTCATTGCATTGGTATAATCATTTATTTTTGAATAAACATTAGCCATGTTGTTATAAATTTCAGCAATATTCGGATCATCAGATTTCAATGTTTTTGAAAATATATCCAGTGATCTCTTGTACCATTTAAGACTTAATGCAAATTCTTTTTTTGATTCTGCGATTTTTCCATATGTCTGATAACAGTTAGCAATATCTGGATGACCGTTTGGTAATTGATTAAGATAACGACGAGAATATTTTTCAGCATTATTTAATTTTCTCATTCGATAAAGAATATTACTAAACTGAATAAGATTTGTTTTTCCAATACCTAAATTTTTCTTCATGTGTTCCAACAGTGATTTTAATTCTTGATCATTTATTGAACATAAAGTCATTCGAATATTCCAAATTTGATCAGCAGGACGTTCGATTCCTTCAATACGAAAGATTGATCCAACCATAAAAAGTATTTCGTTTGGATTTTGAAAATACCCATATGATTGAATATTATTGAATGGTTTAGTATTGTGAATTTCAGGATTAGCTTTAATTACAAAGAAAACTCTTTCAATATCACCTAATGTTTTAGCAAAATCGAGAGATGATCGAGTTTTTTCAGAATCTATATTTGCTAATAGAAATGAATTAATTGAAATAAATTTTCCCACTGAACTTTGTAACATTTCAAGATTTTCTTTTGACATTAATTGACTTCGATAAACACGAACTGGTGATAAACATCTTTTTTTTCCTAATTGACATCCAATATCATGAATAAAAAATCGAAATAGAAACAATATATCAATATTTTGAGTTAGAAGTGCTTTGTTTAATAATTGAGAAACAAATGAATGTCTCGTATACCACCATAACGCTTTATCAGACGAATAATTATTTTCAAATTCTTTAACAATCATTAATTGAGTATAATTCTTCTTGTAATATTGTTGGCAAAAATCAGTAAGTTCACTTTTATCGTTCGATGATGATTTCATTCGAATAAGACAATCTATTAATAATTGAGCATGAATAAATTGTTCGTGTAAATCAATAGATATTTGTTTTTCCTCAAAAACTTTGATTGATAATGGTTCATCAATTTTATCATGTTGTTGTTGAGTGTAATCTTTTTCAATTTGTTTAATAAGTTCATCTAATCGAACTATTACACCTTTGACCTACATAGATAATTAAAAAAAAAACAAAACCAAAATAAATTTCAAAAGAAAAAAATCTTTTACTTTCGCAAATGGTCGTGACCATAGTTCATTAGCTGTTTTATCAAAACAATAAACATAGATTGAAGTGATCTGTTGTAAATTAGCTATTTGAGGTACAATAATTCGACCAAATCTTCCACTAACAATTAAAATAATTCGATCATCTTCAGAACGATTTTTAATATAATGAAGACATTGTTGATCATCTTCAAATGTTAATAAATGATTGATTATTGCTTGTAATTGTTGTTGAACTTTAAAATTTTCTCTTGAAGTATTCACAGAGGCATCAAGCCAAATTAAACAATATGTTTCAAGATTTTCATCATTTTCTATTGTTTTCGGTAAGACTGCAGCCATTACAATAATTGTTTGAAAATGCGTTCACTTTTTTTTTTCTTTCTTGATTTCTTACAAAGAAATTCCGTGCAAAACAAAAACTCAAGGTGAGAGTGTCCGTTCTTTCAAGTAATGTTTGAAACAACATTTTTTTTTTCTTGCACGACTATTACTTTTGTAAAACAGAATGAGAAGAAAAAAAAATTCTGTCTATTTAATTTATGTCTGTTGAAGAAAGAACGAAAGAAGAAATTTTTTGGACAATATTTGTTGTAATGTCGTGTTGATGAGAAAAAAAAAAATTTAAAAAAATCTTGATAACAGATTTAAAAAAATCAACGACAATTTCCATCAAAGATTTATTTTAAATGTTTTTAAATTAAAACAAGATTTGTTTTTCTTATTTCAGATTACTTTTTGTGAAATGAATAATATATATAGTAGCAAAATTCTAAAATACTTATTTCTTTCCTCTGTACATAGAAGTGCCGAGTTATCAATAGCAAGTTTACACATAGTTCTTTTGATTTTTGAGAAGCAGTAATACGATATATAACCAATAAAAAGAAAATAAATTGTCAACTTTTATGGAACTTATATCATACTTGTCGAAGAAAAATATACAGTTTGTAAGTTCAATGTGAAATCTTTGTGGGTTTCTTCTTAAAAGCAACGAAAGAGGAAGATTCAATGATCATTTGGTACATTTCTATATTAGTTGAGAACAACAGGCGTCAGACTCCTTTCTCAGAATTTCTGAGCAACGGAAGAACGGCGCTGACAGACATTAACAACAAGACTTAGACTATTCTAGAACATTTTCAAAGCCTTACTTGCAATTCGAGCAACAAAAATACGTTTGTCAATGTTTTAAATAGTGCAGTTTTTGATTTTTTTGGCAGATAAAAATTTATCTTCAAGATGTCAAGGATGGTGAATAGTAACGCATGGATTTGCCACAGTTGTCATATGATCAACACAAGAGAAGTGGGAATTGATCAAGTTATAGTTTTGGAAAAATGATCAATATTAGTGTTTATGAGTTGATCGGGATATATAATAGTACATTCAAGTCAGAAATACCAATGGGCCGAAGGAATGTGGACCAGTTCAATTTTTTTTTCTGGAAAAATGAAGCAAACACGGATCATTCATTGAATTGCATTCAATAAATTTTAAAACATGAATGACCAAACATATGTCGAGTATCAATAGTTGATATATACATCAATGTTGGACAACATATTTGACAACTTAAAGAGCCTCCAATTCTCTTGAGCTCACTGGTATTTTCTGTTTTTTTTGGTTGGAAAATCAAACACTTTCAGACATAAAAATGTATGTGCTTTTTCCCATTTTTAATAGCAGCATATGTCGATAGTTGTTGTTTGAAAAGAAATTTGATCCATTCAGATATATAGTGTTTTGTGTAGGATGAAGAATTGACACCGATAGTCAAAGAAGCAGTGTGAACAAAAACTGATATTTTAAAAGATTCTATAGAAATAGAATTAGAATGAGAAAAAAAGTAATTGATGATGATGCTATATATTGTGAGAATTGTCGAATATTGAAATAAAAATTTGATAGAGAACTGCTGTTTTAGTTATTTCAATTATAAAACAGAATTAATCTTATTTTGTCAAGCAACTTTTAATTATTGTAAGAATAGAACTATTTGTTGATATTCTTTTCTTCTAAATATTCACCAAAGCACAGAATAACAAAAACAAAAGAGTCTAGCAATATCAGATAACTAAATGAAATAAAAAAAAAGATAGAACTTTGGTATTAATAATATCAAGTTTTCTTTTGCTCTATTAATTCAGTAGAACATATATATGAAGATTGAATTTGATCTGTTCATCAATTAATCTTAATTCTTAACATTGTAAAAGAGAAGATAACATCGGTCGCATGATTCAAACGTATAAATACCTGCTCAAACCGTTTTATTTTTTTTGTTATTTAACCAAGATCATATCTAATATCAATCAAGACATCTATTTCTATTTCATATGAAAGTATATACTACTGAACATGGCAAAAGGTTGGTAAGAATTTTTTGTATTACATGTAATTCTGTCCAAGAATGTGATAAAATGTTGATCCTTTTTTTTTCAGAACATCCGCCATGTGATATTCTACTGAGATCATAAGATCGAATCTTTATAACTTTTTTCGAAATTTTAATAGACTGCTAATATAGAAAAGTGTATCGCTGTGTTATTTCCTACAAGGAAAATTAAGAGGAAATCGAAAATTGTTGAATTTTTCTTGTTGATAATTATTGTTTATTCATGTTGCGTATGATATTTGAAAACAGTCCGAGACCTAGTGTGGTCTTAAACGCATGAAAATGATTTCTTATCTTTATCTCAAATACAAGTGAAAAATAACGTCTGTATCAATTAGTCTAGATGCTATATCCTGAAATAAAACATTTTTTTGCTGTGTTACCCTCCATACATCATCTGAAAGTACTAAGCTCGATGCATACATTGCCACATCCTCTGCTGTCAGATAAAGCTGCTTCGACTGTTGACAGATACACTAAAAAAAAAGAGTTATGTTTTATAAAATATTACACTGAAAACTTGACTCCGACTGAATATGATGAAAACTTGTTGAGAATAACTCACTTCTGATCTCATAGACAATATTGGTGGAATGATGAAAATTTTTGTGTTTTACAATGCCTGTTAACAGTTCATTTTATCTAGTACTGAATTAACTAAAACTGATTGTAGTTGTTAGTCCCAAAATTGATTTTTCTGATCTTTTCTTTGCGAAAACTAACACAATGATAGACTTGTTCAATCTTAGCAGTTTATTAAAATTTTGAAAAGTAGCTATAAAGATTTAACCTGGTCATTCGAGTAGACCATTCGATAGTGCATCTTTTGAAAAATAGATCAACGTTTTACCATGTTCATGAACACAGTTACATAAAAAACGAAGATTATCGCAGAAGTTTTGCCACACTCAATATTTAGTAGTATTTTATTAAGTTGTGTTTCAGAGTAATGAGATATAAATTAAGTTTAGAAACAAAAAAAAAAGGACAGTAATTTAATTTAAATCCTCAAATGTAAATCAGCGCATTTTGTTTCTATTCACATATTGATTGATTAAAACAAAAATGAATATCATCTGTCATATATCTCATGTATTATCGATTGTATAATCATGTAACAGATGTTATTTTTTTCTGTATACACACCCGTATCTTACATTAACTTTAGTATATAAAATCATCTAGTTTTTATTGCAGATAAAAATTTCCATCGCTTTGAGTCGAAGTTTCAAAACTATTATTATGTTTCGTGTTTTGATCATTGCTTCTATTATTATCAGCATAGGTCAGTTTTGCTTTCAAAATTAAAAGAAAAAATAATGTATTAATATAATCTCGATCATATTTTTAGTACATGGTCAAGAACATTTTCCACCTGTTCCATATAGTGAAGCATGTGTAACACAAGGATTTCATGCTGGTCATCAGGCAATTGATATTGGATCTTATGGTGCTAAACGTATTAATTTATATACTATTTGGGATGGAACAGTGATTGGTGTTTGTAATGGTGCTGGTGATTTTGATCAAAGTAAATGTGGACAATGTGGTAATTATGTTGAAATTCAACATAATACTGTTAAAGTTCTTTATTGCCATATGACATCGGGTTCAATTACTGTGTCGGTTGGACAGCGTGTTGCACGTGCACAAAAAATTGGTTTAATGGGTACATCAGGTTATTCAACTGGTGTTCATTTACATATACAAGTGAGAGAAATAAGTAATGGTCAATTACGAGATATTCGTACTCGTCTTGGACTCAATGGATGGAGAACTTGTTAAAAATTTGTACTTAGCAAATGCTTTAACTTATTTATTTGCATAATAATAATACACATTATAATGCAAATAAAGTTTCTTTGTAGAATTCAAAAAAAATCTTGTCTTTATGCATCTTATTGACTGAAACTTCACATTAAGTGTGATATTCTTGTTAAGAAAAATAAGATTATCTAAACAGACCTTCCTAACACGGTTGTCAGAGTAAGACTAGTGTTCATGAGACGTTGATAATAACAAAAAGAAAAATTTTAATTACATAACATTGTTTGATTGGTAATGTTGCTTTGGTCATAGAACGAATAATAGTTTTCACATTGTAACGGCGTTGTCAGTCTTTCAACTGAACTTCTTTGAATGCATCCATAACTATGTATCTGATGGTAGTGTGTCCTCATTGGCAACGATAATGAATCTTCATTATGTATAAGCGAACAAATTTGCTAATTAATCATCTAATAATGACATATCATTGAAAAAGTAGATTTGTACATATTCTGCTATTCTACTACATGTATAACCGATATATTATTTGCGATGCTTAATGCTTGCTTCATATATTCGTTGTACATTTGTGTAAATATATTAAGATCGAAATTTTGTTTAAGGTATTTACCAAATGAATTCACAAACTTTTCAAGACAATACATAGGGGACTTATGTATACATAGACTAAACGATTCTCAGATAATTCAATAGCTTCAACTAATTGAGATATCATAAATCCTACGATTATTGATCAACTTCATATAAATCAAATATTACTGATTCATGAAAATAATTCCTTATCTTTTTACTTTATTCAGTTATACTTAAGTAATAGTTGACCACAATGCTAGCAAGTCAGCATCATAACAAAAACTGTCCAATACCGATCAATTTCTCATAACTACGTTCACAATTGCACATAATACGTTATGGAAGGCCATAAAAATTATAGATTTTACTTACAAGCACTATTGTATTCACGCTACTCATGATTACCTACATTGAGTTTCACGCCCAATAGGCAATCAGATCTTGGACTGTTATGATATGAGTAATTAACGCAAGAAAGAATCCAAAAACTGATTTACGTTTTCACCCTAGAAGAAGATGTCTATAAGATTCATATAAACTTCGAAATACTTCTTCTTGAGAATAACCATTTAGTCTATTGTGCAGCATGAAAATGGCTTACGCGTAATTTCTTATACTGAATTGATAGCAAATATCTCTAATTGTAGATCATACCAAACTTTACATGTTTTTTTGCAGATATTCACGACTTATGGTCGGATCAGGCAGTAGAAAGATATACGTAGATTAAAAACATTTCATACAAGTAATTATTCTTCCGAGATATAAAAATGTGACAAATGAAACTAAGTCGAAAAGTTACATGTTACTAAATGTAGTAAATTCCAGATTACACCGTTTTATTTTTGTATATTTGAACGACAAAATTGATGAGTGTTCTATCAAATTTGTTTTATATTCAAACTACATCATGCAATTGATCTTTCTAAAGTTAGCCAGCGACAAACAAACAGTATATCAAGATTGGAGACTCACCAACAAACAGCATACAAATATAGTATTTTGTTTCTATGCATTTTCTTTCCTCAGTTAAGGTTCTACTATTTTACTAGCGTTACTTGGATATCAACTTCTTGACACTTTATTCTATCTGTTGAAATATTAATTAAGGAATACAATGCTGAAAATGTGATTTTCATAGGAGAAACAAAAGTAAAAGATTGATATTCATGTGTAATATGTGTTACTCCAGTATCGATTCTCACTTTTTTGATTGTTTTAGCTAGTTTAACGGTGGTGCACAGTAGAAATCCCTTGACAATCAATATCATTTAGATCTTAGCCACAAACGCAGGTGATTTTAATGTGTCTATTTGAAACATCCTTATTAGAGCGTCTGATTTAGAAATATACCTTATATGTTAAAAAAAAATCGATTTTTCTCGAAATCACACATCAAAGTTTTTGTGAAGCGCACAAAACCAAAGGTGTTCATATTAGATTTCTGATTATCTAATGATGTAAGGTAACATACACAAAGAGTACTTCAACGTCGTCTTCTTTTAGATTCGACTGTCCATGAAAGTGTTGCTCAATGGAAGACATAGGTTGGATGTGAATATCATGTCCTTACCATTTCTCTCAATATTCAACATTGACTAGTTATTAGGTATATAGAAGAAGGAAAAATGGATAAAGAAGAATATCTTAACTTTTCTGTTGTCATATAGTATGGGGTACTGCCTAGTGGTGAATTATATCTTTTCTACGACTAATACTAGCTGTAGCTCTAGACAGAAGATTGGCCTCATGCAGAGTTCCTGCACTGAATTGATTGAGCTCCCATACATCCTAAGTAACCACATACTAGCCATGAGAGTAAGTGTATCTCATAATACAGTCAGCATGCTATTAAATGGATGATTCGAGGCAACTAGTCGTTAGCAAGTTGTCCAAAGTCATTTCATTGCTCGTGGTACTGATACGAAATTTATACTTTAAGTACTATAATTAACTTCGACTTTTGGAATATATAGTGATATACAGTTTCAAAAATGAACCAACACACACTTTCTCGTTCATCTTTCGGTTTGTTAAACGTAGTGAAAGAAACCGCTCATCTATGAAAGTTGGTCTAATATCATCTACTCGAAAGTTTACATATCGTTATCTCTTCGTTTCTTTATTTTATCAAGAATTTCTAATTATGTATAATGAGATAATTTTAATCTGCTTGACACGATTCGAACATTTTTTTGTCAACTTATCAATATCATTTCTCTCCTCTATTTTTTGACACTCTTTGACTTGTTCTGTATGATGAAATATTATTTTCTTGTTGCATGAAAGCTGAAATTCATATTTGCAAATTACGAATGTTCAAAAAATAACTAGTATTCAATTGATTAGTGTCATTTGAAATTGATCATCATCAAAAAATTCCATTCAAAATATTTTTCACTTCGTATTATTTAAAATCACCGAGCATACCTTTCATGAAGTTCTTGATTTGAAAATATTCTCACAGAAAAAAAAGTATAAATTTCACGTTCAAATATATTTAAATGTGCCAAAATTTATTTGAGAGCTCGAACAATAGAATTACTCGTACTCATATACAATTAGAATTGAGTTAAAAACAATCCAATTCAATGTTCTATAGCTGTGGGTTCAATGAAATATTCAATAATTTTGTTGATTAAGAAATGTCGTTCAGCATCGATAAAAAAACGAAATACTTATGAAAAAATTTCTTAATCGAATCAAACACATTAAATTTCTCATGTTATACATGCCGATTATGCTAGATATTTTCGGAAATATCTTCAAATGATTAAATTTAGTTTTGAAGTAATTTTATCTATTTTCAGCTTCTACCTGAAAAAAGCTATTGACATTTGCAACTGGTATTATGATGCATGTTATTTATTAATAATTATGTTGCATCCGAATCATTATAAATTTATCTCATAGAAATTGAAAATATAAAACGATCGTCTTGAAGCATCTTATTTATATAATTATCTTTACGATGGGATAACTTTTCACAATTTATTTCTTAGTTAATTAAATAATAAAAAGATAGTGAAAATATAGAAAAGAACATTAAAACGTCTAGAAATAAAATGTTTTGAAGTCTTTATTATTGTCGTCGTCGTCGTCATATGAATATCCTCTTAATATGTCTCTGTAAGTATCGCTCGCTGTTGGAAGACTCTTACTTATATGTTTTTTTTTTCCAAAATAATAGACAGAACCGCCAACAGCGCCAGCCACAGCTGGAATACCGAGTCCTAATGAAAGGCCAAGTATTAGAGCGAGATTAGGACCAGCTGAAAAAGGAAAAAAAAGTTAAAAGATTATTAAAGATGAAAAAGAAAATTTTACACGAAGGGCTAGGAGTTGTTGGCCTTGGCGTTGTTGTTAACGAGTTTAAAAATTGTTCGACAGCTTTAGAAAAAACAATAAATAGCATAATTATATGTTATATTAATTATGAAAAAATACTAGTGAGCAGCATTAAGAAACCGTTTATAATATTAGATAAATTCAATTTCTTTTTTGATGCTTTGTCTAAGAAATTTTTTACTTACTTGCACAATCACCATCATATAAGTCAATATCATCAAGTGCAAAATAAATTGGGCTATATGATTTATTGTTTGTCTCATTACCACTATCAATGCGGAAATTAAACGAGAGCTATAAAAATAAAACGATAAACATTCCTTTTCAATCTTTTGAGAAACAATTTACTTTGTAAGTATTGTTTGTCCAATCAAAATCGACTATACGCCGCTGCCAACCATTAGCGCTCATATTCTGGTGCGGCACTGTATCAATCCTTTTTTCTTCTGCTCCTCTACTATTTTCAATATATACTTGTATTTCTCGGTATAGAGTATCATCATAGTAAGTCATATAATAATAATAACGAAGGCATTGTTTCGATATTCCGTTATCACTTTGGGTTCTAGGCTTAGCATCCGCGGTTACTTTCTTGCTTGTATTACCTCCCAGTTCAAAAGGAATAAGAGCGTAGTTACCTATAGATCGAGACTAAAGTTGAAACTCTCGTTAAAGCTAAAGATACAAACTTTTGCTCATGGTATGTCTCTCCTCAAATTAGCTTAATGTTTGATTAAAGATTGTGTGATGATAATTCATTTTATTTTACTATTGCTCAATAGTTATTGAAATTATGTAGTTTTAATTGTAAGACTGCACAATAATGTCTTGTCAACTCAACAAATATTAAGAAACCGTAATGTGCACGTATCAGTTCTATCTAAAGTTGATATATAAAGGGCTCTTGAGTTATCTTTCATATCTACATTTTTCAATATCATAAGTTAGAAGTTCTTTACAGACATCAAATGAATTCACAAATATTCTTTTCTTCAAACAAATTCTCAATACAGTACTGTAGAATTTGTTAGCTGTTTGCAAACATTAGATGTTTCTCTCAAAATGCAACTATTCAAAAGAAATTTTCCATTTTAGCATTTAAAATTTGATTTTGAAGTAGATTAGGTCATTTGAACTACACAATAGATCTAGCTTTAAATGCATACACTTGAACGGAAGATGATCAAGCATCAGTCAAGTTCGAAACAATGCTAACATATCTAGAAACTTTCTCAGTCTGATCTGAATTAATTTTTATCGTACATGATACGCAACTTTTCCTATAGAATAAATTTAGAATCGAACGTATATTTAAGGAAAGTGAACAATTCAGTTTATGAACTGATTTAATTTTGAAATAGAAAATCTAACCTGACTGACAGTCTATCAGTTGACTTCTGTTTGATGCGCATTTGCCTTGATAGCAAAAGTGCATGTCCCAAGTGAAACTTGTATTCGTAATGATTGAGAGGTTATACGGCATACTACATGGTTCTTGATTGCTGGCCGCTATTGATAATTATAAATTGTTTAAATGAGAAATTTTCAACATAATATAAGTAAAACTTACTGTTCGATATTACGCCTGAGAGAGGCATTCTAGGCGGCACACTAGTATTGAATGCAGTACCTTCTATATAATTACGTCCATCAGTGACTTCAACAGATTCATTTCCCACGGAAAAACAGGCATCATTAGTAAAATCACAAAGTAGCAGAGGAGTCGGAGGTCGAATGGTAACAGTTATCGTAATAGTTGCATTCATTGTGGTACCAGTTATATCCCATGTAACACTAGTTGCACTTGATGAGGCAGTTGAATCTGTTATGATGTCGGGTGTACTCATGATAGTACTAATTGTACCAGTTGCAATGCTGCTGTAATACGAGGCGGTGTCACCTATATCGGTCGTAATGCTACTCATATTCGTTGTGGCAATATTTTGATCGCTTGTAGTGATACTGGTATCGGTTGTAATGCCACTTATACCCGTCGTGGTGATACTTTTGTCGATTGTAGTAGCACTTGTATCGATTGCATCGCTACTTGTATCGGTCGTGATACTACTTGTATCGGTCGTGATACTAC